GTGCAGACGTAAAAGACTACTTTATTGACTTAATATGCTTTAGACATATAAAACATCCATGTTTCACATCAATATTGGGTGCTTTAATAATATAATTGCGTATATGTTACGTCATTGTGTGATTACGAAAAACGAACTAGTGAACTGAATCAGTTCACTGAAACAAACAAAGAAAAGAATCAGATTTCCTCTTTGTCTGAATCTCTGGATTACAGGTGATAATGTAGTAAATAATGTTCAGTTTCTTGCACAGACTGATCATTTCGCTTCATAAGACCTCAGTATATCATCAGGAGTCACGGGGATTCATTCTGTGTTGCCTGGTGTGCTTTTTTGACTCTCAAAGTGCTGGTAGCCATTGACTTGCATTTAAGAATCACCAAGGAGCACAGTTTCAGCTAAAAATCTTCTTCACTGTTCTACATCTTAGATGTCCTGAGGGTGAGTAAATTAACAGCTAATTTTCATTTTTGGTTGAACTATTCCTTTTAAGCTTCTGACTTGTTTGCAATCAAAACCTGAATCTTAAAATTTCTTCCAGTTCGCATCCCTGATTCTCTCACTCTCCTGCAGCCGAACGCACACAGAGACAGAATAATGAATCTGCTTCAGACTCGCAGCAGGAAATCACACACAATCACTGCAGGAATTCAAACGCGTGGAATGTTTCAAAAAAAGAAACTCTTGCTACAATGTTTCCAGTCACGACTGGCAGAATGTCTGACACTCTGGAAACAGACCAAAAAAATCTAAATGTTGTAACATCACATTTATGCTGCTCTCCAGCACTGACTAAAATTTCAGAGATTAATTATTGGTTGTTTACTGAGAAACTGCATGCAAACCACATCCACGCTGGTGTGGAAACCATATGTTTCACACTCTATTCTTATTCATCAGTGCAAAGGAGAGGACATGACGAGCCACATCGGGAAGGAAGAAATCAGTCTCACAGCTAAAACAAAGCTAAACTACAGCGTCCCACCCAACGCTTCTACAGAAATGAATACTTCTATTCGTCAAGGACACATTAAATTGCTCAAAAGTGACAGTAATGACATTTATAATGTTACAAACGATTTCTATTTCAAATAAATGCTGCTCTTATGAACTTTCTATTCATCTGTGAATCCTGAAAAATAAAATGTTCACATTTTCCACAAAAATATTGTGCAGCACAATTGTTTTCAACATTGATAATAATTAGAAATATTTCTCGAGCAGCAGCATATTAGTATGATTTCTGAAGATCATGTGACACTGAAGACTGGAGTAATGTTGCTGAAAATACAGCTTTGATCACAGAAATAAATTACAGTTTAACAGATATTCACATAGAAAACAGTGATTTTAAATTATAATAATATTTCACAATTTTACTGTATTTTTAATCAAATAAAAGCAGCCCTGATGAGCAGAAGAGACTCTTTCAAAATCATCTCACTGACCCCAAACTTTTGAATCGTAGTGAACATTTCTGATTATTTACCAACAAAAATAAATTAAATTTGCCATAATTGTTAGACACGAAGCACTGAAATCTAGCACTGACACATTTATATGAAGGTCAAGATGCTAAAAACTGCTTCAAATCCAAGAGACTGAAGATCTGTCCGTTGCTGTATATAATACAACACTTCACATAAGTGATAAATTAATATCTCTCTGTTTATGCCACTAGGATGCTTTCACACTACAGCTTCTAGCGTTGACCCTAGTTTATTTAGTATTTAGTTTATCTAGTATTCAACGCTTGTGTTCACCAAACAATACAATCCGAATAATGTAAAGGAATCAAAATCATTGATTGATTGATTGATTTAGCAACAGTGAGTCAGATGGGATGGAAGAACTGTCGCAGATGCTTTAATAACCCCCTGAAAACATGTCTCTGCTGCTGAAGATCATAGTTTCTGTCACTGAGCAACATCAACATTAAAAACATCACAATCACTCGCATGGTGAGTCAGTGTTCCTAAACACATGATTATGATCCAAACTCTTCACAAAACCAAACTGAGAGAGCTGCTTTGCTGCCTGCATAGACAGCATGCTGACTGAAACAACGCTCTACACTCTCCTTTATGTGCAATGATGGACCTTTAAAGGTCCCATATTTTACACCTTTCTGGAGTTTTATTTTAGGTTTTGATGTCCTTAAGAATATATATTTGCGGTATAAGTACCAAAAACCATCTCAATATATTTTTACAGCTCCTCTCTCAGGAGCTCTGCTGAGAACTGTCGATTTTGGCCTGTCTAATTAATATTCATGAGCCTCTCTTCTGACTGGCCTGTTGTTTTCTGAGTGACGCACGGCCAGGCCAACCACAGCTAACTAGGGTCAGCCGACGTCACAGCGCTAGCTGGAAGCAGCCCATTCAAACCAGCGCAGATGCGGCTACACGAGGAGCTTAAAATATCATCTTGTTGTGATGTTGGGTGCCAGAATCGACAATGGTTTTTACAGCGTCAAATTCGAAATTTGATCGCATATCTGCTGCCACTGCCAGACAAAAAAACCGACGACAGCTGTGGTTAAACACGATAAAACGAGCAGACTGGACAGAAACGATCGTCAAAAATGCTCGCGTTTGCAGCACACACTTCTTATCAGAAAAGGTTCAATAAAGTATTGAATTTCAGTTTTGACAATATAGGACCTTTAACATCCATCCACTCAAAAGATCATTAAAATGTTCTTCACACTTTCAGAAATGTTCACTGAAAGGTTCTTGTATTGCATCACTTTTAAGTTTCAAGCATTATTTTGATGAGTTCTGCTGACATAATAATGCTGATCATTATATGAACTTAATATTGCGTGCAAATTCAAATCTCCACTTTCTGTTTGTTTGTGTTTATTTATTTATTAATGAAAATATTTGGCACAAAAATTGTCAATAATGTTTTTCTAGAAATTAATTGTTTTCTTAATTTAAAAAATGACACAAAATTTTATGTCAATAATGATGTTTTCTTAAATAAAATGGCACATAAATATTAATTTATTAATTTTAATAAAAAAATCTCTGAATAATGAATGTTTTTATAGAAATTAACATTTTCTTAATTAAAAAACGCAAAAAAAAAAAAAAACTTTGGCACAAAAATATTGTGTGAAATTTAAACACTCCACTTTCTGTATGTTTTTTTATTTATTTATTTAATCTTTGGCACGAAAATTATGTTATTATGTTATTCAAGAAATTTATGTTTGGCACAACATTTTATGTCATTAATGGTGTTTTCTTTAAAAACCATTGGCATAAAAAATATTGCGTGCAAATTAAAAACTCCACTTTCTGTTTGTTTGTGTTTATTTATTAATTAATTAAAATATTTGGCACAAAAATGATTTCAATAATGTTTTTCTAGAAATTAAAGTTTTCTTAAAAAAAAATGGCACAAAATTTTATTGCAATAATGATGTTTTCTTAAATAAAATGGCACATAAATATTGTGCGCAAATTAAAACTACATTTTGTTTATTTATTAATAAAAATTTTGGCACAAAAATTGTCAATAATGTTTTTCTAAAAATTAATGTTTTAATAAAAAATTTTTAAAATAATGAATGTTTTTATAGAAATTAACATGTTCTTAATAAAGTAATTCACAAAATTTTGTCATTAATGATTTTTTCTTAAAAAAAACATTGGCACAAAAACATTATGTGAAAATTAAACACTCCACTTTTTTGTATGTTTATTTATTTATTTAATCTTTGGCACAAAAATTACGTTATTATGTTTTTCAAGAAATGTAAGTTTGGCACAAAATTGTATGTCATTAATGATGTTTTCTTAAAAAACACTGGCATAAAAAACTATTGTGTGCAAATTAAAAACTCCACTTTCTGTCTGTCTTTTAATTTATTTATTAAAAAGCTTTGGCACAAACATTATGTCAATAATGTTTTTGTAGAAATTAATGTTTTATTAATTTTTAAAAAATGGCACAGAATTTTATGTCATTAATAATGTTTTCTTAAATTAAGAAATCATTGGCACAAAAATAATGAGGGTGAATTAAACCTATAAATAGATACATAAAACACAGGAATAGAAACTGATTGACTAAAATGAGCACAACAGATGAGAAGAGAGAAGAGTTTAGTAAAGAGTGTTTGATTAAAGCAGTGATGCAGAGCTTCATTAATTTGCTTTTTGCTTGTTTTAAAGCAGCTGAGATTCAGAAAAACTTGATTTACTCTCCAACACTGCAGACAACAGTCGTCTAAACGGCCTGGCATTAGAAAATAAACCATCTGTGCCACAGTTTTGATGCCAGCTTATCTGCATGAAATTACCCACAATTCTCCATCAGACAGGTACTGAGTTTCTGTAACACTATGAGGGCCGTTACTGTGGGCTTCTGTGTTACAAACATCTCTAAAGCTCTGTATCAGTGTTTGCCGAATCTCACGACTTCTCACGAGTTTTATCACTGCAATGCAATTTTCCTCAGACGGATGAACTCAGAAAACAGACGCTGGATAAATGTAGAGAAAACATCGGCTACGTTCACACTGCAGCTACGAAGATACGTTAAAGGCATTCGGTTCACATCAGTGTTACTTTAATATCATTAATATACTATTCATCATTTTTAATCATAATGTGAATTAGTTTTCATTTTAATTTGTTACATTTCGTTGTTTTGTCATTTTTTATTCGATAAAAATTTTTTATACATTTTTATTTACATTTTAGTTATTTTAGTACTTTAAACTAAAATGTTGTACTTTTTATTTCAGTTGAGTTAACATTTTTCGTTTAGTTTAAAGTACTAAAATAGCTAAAAAGTAAATACAAATTTATAAAAATATATATTAAAAATAAAATCGAATAAAAAATGACAAAACATATATATATATACTTTTATAAAATTCACTTTCTTTCCAAGTAACAAAAATGTTTTTTATAAATATAAAATATATATTTTACATATATATTATATTATATTTATATATTATACTATATAATACTGTTATATTAT